CACAGATCCCTGACCTATTCCTGTACGGTATGACCCAAAGCAAACCAAGTATTTTACTCACGTTTTTCTGTGCATAAAGTGACTTATTTCATTATGGCACTTTGCCAGGATATATTTCAGATGTATATATGCATGATTCCTAAGGTCACAAACGAAGAGAGTGAATACCATCCGTAATTTTTCACTGAATAGAGGTCGGGGAAATCTTGTGTTAGTTAGGCATACAAGTTGACTTCAAAATCACCCTAGCAACCGCTGAAACAATGAATAACGAATCCATGTTTCATCTAGAAAAGTAGTCTTTAATATAAAAGAACCTAAAGTGGTTATTTCAGTAGTTAGCAAGGTTAGAATATGGAATCAGTTGCGCGTTAAAACAGTCTTCAGCAAGAGAGAAAATCATGCGATACGAAATTTATAAGTAAATATCAAGTCCCAATTCCTTTAGGTAGCAAAACAGCTGCAAGAGAGCTGCACTTCCGCTTATTGTCACAAAATTTACCTTCATTTGAAGATTAAGTAGTGAAACGTTATGGCATACATATTCAATAAATCAGCTTACTTTGTTCTCATACAGTAAGAGTGCAGCTTTCAAGATCATTTAGCGGAAGAGATCACAGATAAAATTTAAAACCAACTGTTGCGCATACACCTTACCTTCATATCACTATCTTGAAACTATACACACGTTTCCACCTACTATGATTTAGCTTAAAGAAAACGTCGACATAGATATCAGCTATAAGCCAAGAACAATGTGTAGTAGTTAATAGAAAGCCTAAACTGACTTAGGAGTGTACGTCAATCGTGAAACGTAGTTGTCCTAGTAGTCCATAGAGGACTCTACATTTAGACTAAAAGATACCTAATATTTTCAGAAGCAATACAAACTCAAGTACATGGTAAAATTACTGTGAATCATTCACAAATTGGGACTCTGACGAAAGAACTGTAAAAATACTTGGTTCGTCCACTGTATCATGAATTCGGATGCTAAATTAACAATTTAGTAGTAGGTAGGTTACCAATTTTCCTCAAAAAGTTCGATCGATGAATTTTTTTTATCACTGCTGAGCTTTCATAATTCACCTAGTGAATATATGAACACAGGTGAATTGAAATAACCTACCAATAAATATTTCCTGTAGCCGGTTATGCACGAAATGAATACGAAAGATACCAAGTGGTTGTTCATACAGAGAGACAAATCTATTACATTACGGAAGTTAATCGAGTATCTAGATGGTTACAGGAGGCAACCCCACTAGCATAAAACATTGACGGGAACGACCAGAATAACTTTATCCCACGGAGATTTAATCTAAGAGATTGGTAAAAGACGAATTAAAACAAGAACTTGATTATTGTTTTTTTTAGAACAGTGCAGTTAAGGCTAGAAAACACACAGTAGGAACTAATAGTAGATTGTAACCAGTCATCCATGCACATACACAAATGCACACACATATACAGATAGACAAAATGCTACAGCTGTGCATAATAGGTATTAATAACAATAATAGCAATGTTTCATATATAAGCACTCTTCTTTCAACCGGGTAGACAACAAAGTCCAACAGGAACATGAATATCTTTTTTTGTATTCAAAAATATCATATGGTATTGAGAAAGCGAAATACAAACTCATAACTAATACAAACTAAACTCCATCGACTACATTCAAATTGGTAAAATATTTCCAATATACGATCTGGATCTTCGATTCTTTATATCATTTTATCTGTTGTAATCGGTTAATGTCTCATGATGAGTGCGTATAGTATGCGCATTATTTTGTGAATATGTAAAGAGAGTAAAGCCTCAAGAAAAAAACAGTTAATAAATGTGAACTATTATTATTGCCCTACTCCAAAAACCCACCTAGAAAAAGAACTCCAAATCACTCAACATTCACACACACATGGAATAAATGAAGACATCATCAACAAAGAGCAATACAAAAAATATATATGTAGAAAAATGTAAGCAATAGAAAAGTATAATATAATTTTATTTCAGTTTAACTAAAACTCAACCACTTATAGGCATATATATCGTAACTTTTTAGAATCCGATGCTCAACATAGATATAAATTATGAATAGATTCAGATAGGGGTATACATAAACAGTATAGAATAAGTTACATAATATGAATAGCAATAATAAATGTCGATTAGGAGTGGTAACAAGTTGAAGGATTAGAATATATCAGATATTACTAATTTACTATATAGCAGACAGTAAAGAACTAAGAAGAAAAAAAACATGTCTCTGTATATATGGACTTGTTCCATAATAATAGTTGCTGTAAAGAACAGTGTGTATATAGAGTAAAACATCAAAGAGTGTGCAGGTAACAAAATGAACCTTCTGTTGAGAAACACCTGGTTTTTAGACAATGAGAAAAGAAACAGTAAACATAATGGTAACTATATATTAAGGACTGATTAATACGAAAATACCTGCCTTCAGTTCAAAGATTAGCCAACTGAGTACAGATGAAGTGGAAACAAAAGGATAAGTAGATGACATACAGAGCATTAATGCACAGACACGGACATATTTTAATGCTGTTGGAAAATCAGGGAACATCTAATGGAATTTACAAAAATAGGGTTAATGGCCACCAGATGAACTGTAGAAAGGTGAACAAGGCCAAATGATAGAATGAGTGTGATTCTTCAAAGCAGAATATGCATGATGTTAAGTAGTAATAATGTTTAATAAATATTAAATGTTCTACAAAAAGGATAAGCTGTCTGTTATCTTGAATAAATTACATCTCAATATTTTTCGTTTTTTCTTCATTTTTCACTCATGAATCATTATCATCAAATATGAATGTCATTTCATCCTCAAAAAATAATAATCAAATAGGTAGGTAAGTTCACGAACAGAGTAAAACAATGAACCTGTGAAAGGCAGGAAAGTGTAAGATAGAGAAAAATCACCTGATTTTATTAGTAAATAAGAGACAGAAGATACACGTCAAAAAAATGAACCGGTGGTAGGAAGAGAAATTCTGAAAAATCCAATGTTTCATTCAGATATTAGAGGAAAAGGGAGACCTGACAGTGAGTATGGTTAAATCTGACACAGGGAGTGGGAATAACATTCAATATCATTAATAAAATAACGATAGAAACAATAACACTCACAGTAGTAATACGAATATGAATAAAATAATGACAATAAGTGGATTAATTACTAAATAGAGAGGACAAACAGTAATGCTTTAAATAAGTGTGAAGTACGATTGCGAAGAAAGTCAAAAGGGAAATAGTTGTTTGTAGTAACGAGCATCCATCAATAATACTGAATAATGAAGAAAAACCTCAACTCGCATATAGATAATGGTTTACAGCTAAGGTTTTTGTTTATTGATCTTTAACCTCAGAAAGATCAGGCCATTTAACATATATTGTTATTAATACAATCATTACTACTCTCTCAGAACGTGATCGTGTTAAAAGTGTAACAAACAACATAGATGATGGTACAAAACGTTACTGGATTACACAGTACGAAGGAAGTATAAATATGCATATCAGTAAAGATAAAAGAAAACATAATGTGAAGTGTTTTCCGCTTTAAAAACTACTTATAATATGAAGTTCACCATAGCCACAGAAACAACAATATAGGTAGACATGTAGATTGATGATTGACAGATGAAATTTCATGAACACAAAATAATAATAGTAATAATAGTATAAGTGATCAGCACACAGCGTATTGAGAAAATAAGAAGATATGCACGATCTAGTGGAGATGACAACAGTGCATATCATGATTTAAACGAAATGCTACACATCTACACATTTCTCTATCCATTTTAATATTCGCAGAAATACTAACCACATATTATGATGAGAGTAGGAGAGCAAGTGTAGAACAAACACAGGATGGACTCCTCTCTATTAGTAACACAAACAGATGGTAGTATAAAAATAAAGGCCAAATATACTAACTAACAAATCGTCTGTAGCGAGTGAACTATTTATTTCCTGAATGTAAATTTTCGATCGAAATATGCATACTAAGAGAGACATTTTATCTCACATAGAAGTGATTACGATAGCGATACACAATCTCTATTGATTTTTTTGAATTATTATTATTTTGCGGTCGTTCAGAACCGGGAACAAAAATGGATCAAATCCTAGAAAAAAAACTTCTACTTTGAAAAAAAAATCAAAACTGATAATTCTCTGTTTTTCTTGTTGTTATAGATGAAAATTTCTTCTATATATTCTTTGTTTATATGGAGACCCTAACCCGGGAATAAGATTGACTTCTCTATAAATGAGAATAACCGGGTGGAATTCTGATGCAACACAAACATATATCAGAGCATACATCACGAGTAGAAGATAGATGTACGCCGTTCAAAACAATAAAGAACCCTGAGACACGACAACTGATGAACGGAAAACTTAAGGATGCGAAAAAAAGGAGGGAATGAAAAGAGAGAGTAATAGGGTTATTACTAAAGAAGACACAAGTCGTTGTTATGGGTTAGAAAATCAACTAAAACAAGGAAGGGAAGAATAGTAAGTGTGAAATATGTATGCACATATGAAAACTACTTTGTAGGCTGATTGAATATATGTTCATTATGAAATATGCAAGATACTTCTGCAATAAACATAGAAGAGAAATAAAGGAAAGTAAAGCGATTTAGTACAGGATGGAAGGCATTTATGAAGCCCAAAAGAGATTATCTGAAAAATAATACCGCTTAAACAGCAGTAGTAGCAGTTATAAACGATGGAATAATAATAGTAGTCATAACAAATCAAAATGCGATAACCAGGTCTTCCACTTCAAATTGACATACAAAGGTAATTCAAGTTAACGCATAAATGATAGTAGGGGCGTGCAAAATAACCGATAAAATAGAATACATATTGGTGATCTATTGCATGTCTCGGGCTAGATAAAGATCACTGAGCTAAACAATTACACAAATCAGTAACTCAACAACGTAAGATCACATCTATGCCACTTCTGTAATGGACGCTAGTGCTGATGAAACAGACAAAGCCATCGTATCATTATCAGCTGATAAAAGATTTGGACTAGGACGTCTACGTCTGCGACCTTCACCAATAGCTCCACAACGTGCAGACTGATGACTACTGCCATTTATCGCGTTTTTTTCTATTCCATCGTTATTATTATTACTATTATTATTTGGAGAATAATCACTCAGGTTTTCAGAAAAAAATACTGAACTTTGAGAAGCATCATTTTGAAAATGATTTTCGTTGAGTCTATTTTCTAAGTAAGAAAATCCGAAAGAATCATCAATACTGTTTGATGAACAACAATTCGGAATGTGGTCATTGTTGGCCTGAGACCAAATTGAACTATTAATTCGATCAGATATACTAAGATCGTCAGCATTGACAGAAACCATACTGGACAGGTGAGCCCCTGGATTACTAAACAAGCGTTGCAGTACAGATGTATTTGAAACCATTCTTGACCCAACCAATGATTCTGTACATGATGATGGGAGATTATGCATGAGATTGGCATTTTTGTTTGCAAGTAAATGGTTATTAACAGCACTTCCACTATGAGCCTTACTTGAATTCGAAGACGACCAAAGTTTGGTGGAATTGATTAATGACTCCTTAGACTTCAGAGTGAAAACTGATTCATTATCATTAGGATCATGGGATTCAAAACCAGGAGGACAAGCAGTCATACTGTTATTAATTGTAGTACCAAGTGAAACACCAGAGCCAACAATTAGATCTTTATCACAGGAAGAATTCAAACACAACTGGTCCAAAGCATGGATAAAATTAAAATTACTGACAGAATACGGGTGTGTACCTGATTCACCATCATTAGCTACAAGATGAGCACATGGTGACGTAGTATCTCCTGAATCAGATGTTAGTTCGGTGAGTAAATGAGATGAAGGCACCAGCCAATCACTATGTCGACGAACTAATGGTTGATGCATATCTTGTTCGTGTTGATGCTGCTGCTGCTGCAGACGGTTATGAAGTAAGATATTTGGACTGAGATTGCCATCGGTTTCTTGTCTGGATTCATTAAAATTGAATATACCAGTATCGAAAGTATTATCTAATGCTCGACTACCTAGAATGCGATTTGAATTGGAAGTGAAGACATTGCTGTTATGACCAGGTGATGATGGATTCATCAAATTATTCAAGGTGGAACTAGAACCAACATAACCATGCATACGTGAAGGAGATTCCGTTTGTCCAGAAGTGAAAGGTGGGGCCGCTGAATTCCATATATCAGAAACTAAATTAGGACCAGAAGCTCGATTTAGATTGGTTAGAAAATCGTTTGATGCAGATAGATCGAAATCTACGAATGGCAGATACGCAAATTTCAGTTAATACCAATATTAATGGAAGCAAAGTCAGCTTTACTCTTTAATAATGGTTACACTTACAAAAATATTTGATATTGGAATTTGGAAGCTATCTGTAACCCTTACGGATTTATTAATCTTGAAAACTGACAAGCAGAAATAAACGAAATGCAACCCAAGATGCTGGCATTTTGGTCTAGTCATCACACTTCATATAAGCATCATAAGGTAAAGACAGACCAATGACATATAGTATAACAAAATAATAACGATTCTTACGTTTTCACTCGTAATGCCATAAGGCTTCTATTCTTCTCAGTGTATTTACTGAGAAAGATTGTCGTCTGTAAGTGGGGTAAAGACTATCCTATAATGCCAATTCTTATGAAGTCGAAAGCAGGATGTATGACCTTTATAACTAGATCTATGATAAACTTATATGAAAAAAAGTGAACGTTCTCAAAGGATAACTACTCGGTGAATACACATCATAGGACACCTCATTCTACGTTCTAAAACGACCACAAATGTATGAATATAAAGAGCTTTTAGTAAGGTGATATAACTTGCTGGACATCTCTTTTAATGGGATAATAATAAAACTAAAAATCATCATTTCGGATTACTTACAGCCTTCTGAATTTTGGCAAGACATGAAGACCCAATGATCAATCCAAATCCAACCTGTGATGACAGTGGGAAACTAAAGAACGGTCGAAATGCAGCTGAACAATTCCGCAGAATTTTCCCCATCGTTGAGATTGCCCTTCTGGCTATTAATCTGTATTATTCCTTAACCAGTGAGACTTCATCCAAAAAATGTGAGTACATCACATAATCATTCAGTTGATGATGAATATTTCAGAAGCCAGTGCCAGAAAACCTTCCAAAGAGTTAAATAAACGAATGCATCTGAGGCACTACATGTACTTCCTTTTGAAAAACTAGATACTACGGGTATCGTACGAGAGCATGCTGGGAGATAAAGCCAGGTCCGAATACGTTTCGCATTGGTAATATATATATATATATATATATATATATATATATATATATATATATATATATATATATATATATAACTTTACGTTACTTGATTCAATAGTGTATTTTTCCGAGGTTATTGATCGTATACAAACTAATCGATTTAGATAAAATGTAGTGGTCACCACAAATATTTGGATTCCGCTTCCTTCCCGATCCAATCGCCGCAAATCCGTCTACTTTATTTGGTCACAGATACGCTAACAAAGGACTAAAGAGAAAATTAAGGCGAAACTGATTGTATACGATGTCGGTATACAAAGACGTGACCTATATATCGAACAATCAGATCACGATTTTGAAAGCCGCCCACATTCTCCAACCAGGTGTCACCAAGAGATATTACATACTAATTGTATTTAAAGCCCTACTACACAACCGTTTACTATGTAACTCAGTAGTATTATTACCGAATTAGTGATTTGGCATCCATCTTGGAAACTGGGTAAACAACATCTAAATCACTGTTTTCCTTAAAGTTTCTTTCTAGGTGGGAGATATTTCATAAAACTCGAGTAGTGAAAATGAAACTGAGTAATTGCGTAAAGGTTCCACTCTGAAGGTATAGAACTACAAATAAGTGATACTCATTTATAGAGTGCAGTTTAAATTGTTTAGTCAAAACCTAATACTAGGACGAAGTAATAGTTCTTTTGTACAAGCAGGTTCCCCAGCTTTGTAGGTATTTGTAATATCTCTAATGTATGTGTTAAAGTAGTTAAAACCATATGAAGATAGTATCACTCAGAACATGTTCTATAACATACGTTTTGTGGCTAAGCATGCTTAAACTCGTTGTTTTAACATTTACATTCTTCATGTTAAGACATGTAAATTACTAGCTGCTATGGTCCAGAGACATGGTGTAAACTATAGCAAATAACAAACCTACATGGAAATAAATGTGCATAAAAAACCTTTTTAAGTCACATGTACTAAACTGTTAGCCAAACTTATTGTGTTGACAATGCTCCTGAACTTGTTAGATTGAACTAAGAGAAATGGATGGCGACCCAATTGTAAGATCTCTGAACAATTAATTTAGAAGTAAATAAAGTACGTTTATTACGTTACTTATAGCTTTCTTGCAACAACAAACTTACTGAACCGAAAGTACTGTTTACTTTGATCAAAATAAATAGACCAACCTATTTACTGCTAACGAAAAGTGTACAGTATCCATACTGAAATATGCTTCTAGATGTGATTTCCGAACAATGTAGAATTATGGTTGATTGATTACGATAGTTAGCTTTCATGATCTAGACTATGAGCTTAAATATCATTTTGACTATATAAGTCTAGATGGCTAGGTAATAAAATTAGATATGCAGAAGTGTTCTTTAGAACTAAGTATGTAAATTCATCCATGGTTACTGAACCTTATGACAGACCTAGTGAAACTGCTCAAGTAGCCAAGTTGCCTTACTGGGATATGGGATTTCATTCTTAGTAGTATGGTATAAAGGTTTAATAATAATTGGAAGTGACAGTAATAGGGTAAAATCCTATCAGTTTGTTGATGACAATTAGGACACAACAGTGGAGCTGTGGCTTACTGGTCTGGGAAATTATCTGTCAACCGGTGGGGTCACAGGCTAGAACCTCGGTCCACCTACGGAGGTTTGGGCGGCCAGACAGTAAGTATAATTGGCCATCACACAATAGGTGTGGCTCACTGTCTACCGAATGAATGTGCATGAGGTTACCGAGTGGATTTCGAATCAGATACGGTAGAAAGCGTAACGTATACTGAATCAATTGAGAGAATGAACGCGCTTGAATAATATTATCAGACAGTACACCGATGTCAATATGGGATTTGGCATTATTTTGAAACGGTCTAAATTGTCACACCTCACATCAGTATATCGAGATAAACAGAAACAAGAAAGAAAAAAACGTAATCAAAAATTATTTCAAAAATAAATATCAATATAATCACAGTTATTTATATTTATTGATATTTCTAGTTTCCCGTTGTTATACTCGATCGATTGGCTAAATCCTAGTAGGCAGGTAGGCTCCCTTTGTGGATACTTCGATACTGCCTGAATATTCAACAAATATGACATAGCTCCAGTGTGTTAAGAAAACCATCACAAGATCATGCAAAACGTTTTGCTATGTAGGCCACAACCTCTTCAGCAGAATATTCCGATTTCCACTAAAGACCATATACTTTTTGTCCGTAATCAAACGCAGCAGGAAGTCGTAAAAGAGGAAGCAGAAGGAATTCCATTTGATTTAGATAAACATATGCGAATGCAATTATATCACTACGATCAACTCTCAGAAGCATTACGTAGCCTAGTAAATACTTCCTGGAAGTCTGTGAGTAACATATGCCCCACGAAACTGAGTCCCTGAAGACCGACAACGTCATCAATTGACTTACTGCTTTCGCCTGGAACGCTACGCCATAATCTTACGTTACTGACGTCGTAGTTTCACGACACACTGCCTATGCTATGAAAGCAACGGTGGTTGAAACCATAGGATCTCCATCTTTAAAGCCCATGTTTTACAGCTATAAAGAAATACTGAGTAAACTGTTGCGTAGTACATCCAACATTAGTCGGTAACCGGATATCTGGTCGGCATCAAACGTTAGCAAAAGTTAGTCGAGTCTTTAGTATCCGTACTCAGATTCCTTTCGTTACTAACCCACCAGAGCTATTTCAACTTTTCAATTGAGTGAAGTAGTCAATACACTTAACGGCTAAAACTTAGGTTTGACAGGGTGGCTATTATTCAGAAAAGTAAGACTAAAAAGAATATTAGACCAAAAATAGAAATTACAGAAGTTATATATTTAAAATCTGGCAACTACTCTCATTCCAACTTACTCAAACTAAAACTAAATATTAACAATAAATTACAATATAAGTATGCTGTCGGTTTCAGCTTTGGATACTATATCCAAAGACACGTTTATTGCCATACAGTGAAAACAGTTCCTTAACATCATTATGGACTAGATTCAAGAATAATCACTTTTTATTAAGGTAGTATTCATTACGAACTGCCATATTAGTTAGAGAACTAATGAATTCCAACCCAGTGGCTGAATGATTAACGCGTTCACCGCGAAACCTGGGTTCGAGCCCTAGCCAGGCTGTGGGTGCGTACTGCTGAGTCCCATACCATGACGAAACAGCAGTCCAGCGCCCTCAGGTTCTAAATAGTTCTCCAACTAATGTCAGTCCACGATGAATACTATCTTCAAATAAAATCCACATTGACCTCAAAAGGAATTATTTATTAATCAATAACGCATCCAAACAGGGTAACTTAGTTAACTTACTTTGCACGGTACGCGGAATACAAACTTGAAATCCATTAGATATACCATCACTAGACGTAGTTGAAACACGATGATTAAAGTGACCATTATTTGGACTAAACGGAGCTGATAACAATCTTGACTCATTTAGTGAACACTGATTGTTGGGATTGCCATTTGAAACAGTAGCATCACCAGAAATCCCATCCTCACAGCCATTCGCCTGAATACTGTCAAAATACGTCCCATTCGGTACATGAGATTGGAAATGATTCGAGTGTTGATTATCTCCAGTTAAACCTTGAGAACCATTGCAGCTATTAGGATTAAGTAAAGAACCTGGTGTATTTAGTACGTTAATTGAGCAACTAGAGGTTGATGATGGCCCCGTAGAAACTACAGCAAGCTCTTTTGCTCGACGTGTCTTATTTTAGATTCAGCCAAGATGCGGTCTAGTACTTCACGAGCCTCTTGAGAATCCATCTGAGCAACGTCAGGCCACATCCAGCCAGCAACATTCCCATTTGTTTTTGAAGTACTGTTGCAAACATTTGGCATTGTAGAAGCACTTGAACCATTTACTCGTTGCTCTTCAGAACTCATATTAGATGATCCAGAAGCCTCCTCTACTTCTTCACTAGCACGCCGTTCTAGTTGTCTCATGACTAAGTGACCAATCAATTGCTTAGCTTGTTGAACTCTGCACTCAGCAGCCTGATTAGAACTCAAGCCTAAACCTTGATACGCGGATATCTCAAACTCAGAAGTTGCATTAGGACCACGTGCAGCCTCTTTAGGAGGACTTTTATCTCCGTACCAGTATCCTTTTGTATTGTGGTAATGATTGAACCTTGGGTGCCAATTATTTTACCTACCATTTCCTGCGGGACAGATATTCGACCACGCGCCAAAAGTACTCGACTACCAGGTGTGTTTGTATTTGAAAACAAACCAGTGTTCGTAATTGTATTTGTTTGCATTTGACTACTCAAAGTATTAGAGTTTCCAGGACTAACTGGTAAACTTGAGAATGAAGGAGTATATATACTTGCATTTGGACTACGAAGCGAAGAACCATTTGAAGAAATTGTCACACCATTGAATGGTGCATTTATAGTTGTAGATGGATGAAGTGGAGAATTGTTCACACTATTGTTGAGTGACAACAGCCCAGATACCGAGGAACATGGATTAGGAATAACAAAATTGTTTGAACCGCCAGGAGTTAGATTTGGACCGGAGTTTCCATTAGATCCATTCGCCATACTCATTCCATTTTCAGTACCACATGGTTGAGAACTTGTGGAACCACGTCTCCTTTCCCCAGCGACAATCTTACTTTGCGTTATCTCTTGAGCTCTGGTAGCTAAATGATGAGCAACACGCATAGCAATTTCCGGAGGTGCTTCAATAATAAACACATGTTCTTCTTGTTCACCAGGAGTTGTAATTAAGGCTCCGGTTTCCTCACGAATCAATTTAATTTTTTGGCCTTGGAAAAGAAACGACAAAACACCAAAAACTGTATATTGCATTTACGACGCAGATGATAATTGTTCGTCAACTAATATAACTATAATCAGATAACTGAACAGTGAAAATCTATAGAAAAATAAAGTAAATGCAATATAGTTATAGTGCAAGAATATCTGCTTACAAATACGTGATAACAACTTTAAGTTTCAGTTAAGGAGGATTCTAGTTAGTAACTAAGATAAAGGGAAATGCACTCTGAATTTCGCACAACAGAACCAAAAGCCTAAGTATGAAATCGAATTTATTTACATAAAGGGTCTCGGTAAGGAGTTTACCAAACATGCGTTTTAGTAACAGCGACGAGTTTTCTCTTTAACATGCACGAATTACCTACAAATTTTTCAGTTCTGAACTTGTATGTATTATGATTGCATGGGGGAGTTTCATAAGATTATTTGCCACCCACCAATGCATATCAACCCACTTTTATTACTTGTGCTGTTAAATGTCTTTAAAGACACTTTCCCGTACACATTCTTTCTGATGGAAATAGATAATCATCAACATAGAGCTTGCAAAACAGTGAAACAGTTTAACTTGACACTTTGCGATAGGATCGAAAAATGAAATAAACATAGACAAAACTATATTAAAATAAATAAGGCGGATAAAGAATTGAAGTACTTAGAATTTTGAAAATCACGAGAGAATACCTATGTATTGTCACGATTAGCTTTGAGGAATGTCATTATTGATTCTTGGTATGTCAAGGAAACTAGTCAGGTAGCCTACACGCTTTTCTATACGGATCAGATCAACAGCAAAATATTTGGTGTTGGTCCCATGTCCTCTTTCAAATAAATAACAGTAATATTCTGCGTTAAGACAAATATTAATACAGTATCAATTCAATGAAAGCTGACAAAAAATATAGTTCAAATTTTATCGAATAACCATGTCAGACTTAAAAGTTTGTAAAAGAAAATAACAGGATAGACCGAGGGTTGAGTGTTTATAAACGAGTTTAGGGGAATTAAACGATATTTTGATTAGAACAGATATACAGACTTAATATAAGAGTATTATCAACAGCATGCTAAACAATTCCCGTTTAGCAACACACGACAAACAAGACACTTGAACACAAAATAATTACCTCAACAAAAAAGCAATACTTACGGTAAAATTGTTCGGTAAACACAACTGGGGGGGGGGGAGTAGTGGGAATAAAACAGATCCAGGTGTTCTAGTCTGAGTAGTAGTGCAGTCGGTTTCTTAAGAACTAGTCAGTGAAAAACAATAGCCTACAAAATGCTATAGATTAGTTTTTGATTGGTTGCATAAAAAGTAGTTACAGTACACAGCAACCAAAATAAACGATAAACAGCTATACTAACAAGTTGTCAAGTTCAATCACTGACGATTTAGATATCAAATAAAACTATAAACAGGCATGTGACTGTACAACCAACCATTGCAGTTATAGTCTAATCGTATGAGAAGGTAACACAGTTTTGCTACAATATACATGAATTTACATGCGCACTACTAAGTTAGTATAGAATAAACAATTCCGAATGTCAAAAAAAAAGGAGAATAACTATCAGAAAATGAACACCTTTTACACCCACAGAAATACGCAACTGTGTATGGGTGAAGCTCTGTTCTTCATTAGGTTAGGGAAATTGAGAAAAACAAAATTTTACGATCGACTGTAGTTAATACAGAAAGTTTACAGCACCAATCCAATAAATTAGATTAGTAGATCGTGTCGAAAATTCTTACTGGACAATAAAGTTTTGATACTGGTAACGACATTTTATCAACAGAATTTTCAGCAACTTAACAAACAGAGGAGAGATATCAACCAGTATATAATTATTTCTTTCCGTAACGAAACCATGACAACAGATTGCTTCATAAAGCGCAATATAGTTATGAAAACTTATTCACACACTGGAATATAGTTTGAAACTAAACCGCAAGGACCAATGTCAAAAGACAAGTGCATCTCTCTCTGATCACTTGAAATCACGCTCCAAACTACATATAGGAGGTTTGGACAACCACAATCTCCGTAGAATAATACAACAAGCTTCGCCGGATATAACTCGGGTCATAACCGTGCGTTGAGTGTGAGACACAAACAGGATCCACGTATGGTTATTCACTTGACCTAACTCTATCAAGATAGTGAACTTCCAAAGTTTATCCTTTGAATTTCTGAGTGACTAGTTATCGAGGTCTTGCAGATGTAGACAGGGAACTAAATCCCAAGACAAAATGTGAACTGCTTGGCCGGAAGTAAATGGATACCAGTAAACCATTCGACTTAAAAGAATGGTGAAATTCGTTATTTCTTCATTACTTTTACGCAACACCGAGTGCAGTTCGGACAAAGTTGAAGACAATTTCTGTCGAAAACTGTCTAGTCTCAATTGGAAGCCAAATGTTCCGATGTGGTTGCCACAGAACGCAAATTAGCTGAATAAGCCACACAGCACCTCAATTAATGCAAGCGCATGACCGTAATCCGCAGGTTCTGAGCACAATGAAGGGCGGAAGCAAATCAAATAGAGATTGACAAGAAATTTACTCGGTAACTAAGAGCAGCAGTGGACAGAATGTTAGACATGGAAAAGCATGCCGTAATAAATAACAGTAGATAGATATTTTGACTGACCAAGGAAACTGGAGCAAATTCATGAATAAACAACGATGGTTAGTTGGGATCGTTTGTAAAGTAGTTTCCACCATGGACTGACTGTAGCTAGATAAGTAATGAAAACCTAGGAGCACTAAACAGCTATTTCATCTTAACTCGGGACTAGTCAGTAGCGCATATTAACAATGTAGGAAATAAAACTCAACGACTATGATTTTGAGTAACTGGATGGACATATGATAGTGCAAAGATGAATAATTGCCATGCTAACGAACCACTATGGTGAATTTTTAATGAATGAAACTACTTCGGGCTCAGACACCACAATAATTCCAATGGATTGCAAGGTGACTGTGTAATGACACTACTCCGTGGATAAACTACATTATTACACAAACCCCAAAGCAAATTACAAGTTCAAAAAAGTATCACCAATGGTGAATGAAATGTAAAGAACAGGTGTCGAAACACAAATTCGCCCACAGAATTCTACTCTCCCAACATTTTAACAGATGACAACAGATTGAAAAAAGAATTTTTCACTTGTTTCGTGCAGTGAGGAAATAAAGTTCTGCAAAAGTGTGAAACACCAGTTGCACTAGACAGGTTTTCGTTGATAATCACTTGATACCTAAGAAAACGAGAAAATCCTTCACGGCAACAGTAGAAATAATGATCTTATTAAAATAGCTTACAGTCCCTGCGACAATAATCATCTCATGTCTTCGTTTCTGCAGTAGTGCACCTAGGATGTGAAAGTAACACACTTGTCAGGTGGTGATGATATTCTCCACCAAGAGGATTTATGAGGAATACATATGATTCATGGAAACTCAGTTGTAATAGTGGTCCACACGTTAAACTAGACGACGGCGACTGACCACTGCAACTCCCAAAGTTTGAGAGATAACAAGTATAGAGGTTCAGTGGGTATAGGGTTCAAAGGAAGACAAGCTACAAAGGTAGCTAACTTTGCTTTAATAGATATTCTTAGACTATTTTCTTTGCAAAAACGTTTGTAATAAGCCTGAGTAAAAAAACAACAGTATACCAAGAACTGAGTTGAAGAGTAGGCTTGATATCAGGATTCTTGTGCTAAAAATCTTTAGTTGGGAATTATTAAACAAAATAATTGATAACCTACCACAAAAGTGAAACATCAACCAGAAAAATTAACGGAAGGCATTAAAATAAGTAAAGATATGGCAGTATAAAGAAATCAATAACTATGTTTGTTACTATTCTCGATTCCCCTTTGCTCTTGCCAGTGAAAAATGAATTCCAGATACAAACGAAATAGGACTTCATACAAGTATTATAATTTAAACCACTCTCTTTCTCACTAGCATAGTCAGGAGAAACTAACAGAAAGAAAAGCTTAGAAATAAAAATAACATCGACAGAAGTCAGGAAGAAATGTACCGTACTTAGAGAAAGAGATAAAGAATGGATGTATTTCAGCAAATAAGATGTTGAGTTAAACCTTCAAGTATCGACTTCACTTTAATCAGATCATATTCAAGAAGTTTACAGTGGTTTGGTTGTAATACAGTAGAAAATGTATATATGTATTGTAGTTTATACCGCACAATACATGTCTGTTCGGCTACTCTTTGGTTGATAACAGACCTTAATAAAACAATCACTTCTCTTACTTTAGAAATGTGACCACGTGATACGGCCAATTCATAACAATGATTTTGTAGTTACGTTATGTAAAACATGTAGTCTATGCAATAAACGGAAGAAAAATAAAGTAAACAAGACTAAATCTAGAACAGTATCAAGATGTAAAAGTAACAAAAGTGATTATTTCGTGGACAGGATGAATCTATCATCAGGTGCTTAGTGCATTATAATTTTGACCTACGAATGCTATCAAGAAAGTTTACACACAAATGACCACATTCAGAGAGATTTCGTGCCACAGCCAAGTTTGCTCTTATTGATGGTTCACTTTGAATATACTGCATTAAAACAGTACAGGAGATTAAATCATAACTTTTTATTAATTCCGATAAGTCTATTAGCAGTTACAATTCTTATACATTAGCTTTAGTGTCCACGTACAAGAACATATTCCGAAATCAAAATGTATACAAAAAGTTGAATATTACATGTGTATGATCAAATTAATAGACAAATAAATAAATAAACAAAGTAAAGTTGTAATCCCAAATCGTGGGGTTGTTTGTTTTGTAAGCGAACCGTAACATCACACCAAAAAATATCTACGAGCTTGACTACTATGCTTGGAAATTGAATAGTAACAATAATAATAAATATCGAAAGATTCCTTTGACAAGATAGAATGCTTTAAGGTTTAGATATCAAACAGCTGTATTCAGAAA